TGGTCTCTGTTGTCACTTGTTTAAATGTTTGGCGGGGTTGTTGTGTTTCTCTGAGTTCTAGGTTAAAAATACCAGACACGAACCCTTCATGAATCCTGAGAAGATCAGAACATTGAATGTCTCAGATGTCCTCCATCTGAAGGACATGAATGTTTGAATAAAGCTCAGGGTCTTTTTGGGGAGAACAATGAACCAAACTATGAGGCTCCCTCCGAGGCATCTATTCACACTCACCATAAGTTATTCCTAAACTGCAGGAAAACAATTTCCTTGACCTCTATTCTTAATTTCCACTTCTGGTATCTGTCTGACTCCACAACAATTCATCCAAATAGCTGCCATTAAAAATATACAAATTTTACAAAGTGTACCATTGCCCTATTTTTAAAATGTGTATGGGAGTCCAATAACCACAAAATTTCTAAAATGAACGTCTATGGGACTGTAGCTAAATGCTCTCTGGGTGCCGTTGTCTGTTACATTATTGCAAATACTAAGAAAATGGAAAATGAGCTGGCTGCAGAAGGCGAGTAATTGTTTGTCACAAGGTTGTCATTGTCTTAGCATTTATCCGGAATCACATTACTTGTTTTGTCAATTGTCTCCATTTGGCTCTATCAAAGGCATCTTCTGAAGTGATATTGACAATCCTTGTCTTCTTTGATCCTGTCCATGCAATGTTTTTCTGGTGTACTTCATGGGCAGAGGTCACTGACACTGAAACTTGGCCTGTAATGGTAACAAAGTCTCCCATGGTTTGGGCCACCTGCTATCACCCTACTGTCTTGTTTCTCATCTCTTCTCAGAAACAATTAGGCCGATGCCTAATCATTTCTCAGCGGCATCATTCGTGGCTTGGTCTCATCTTGTACCATCACATCATTGATGTTTTTGTTACACAAAGGGTGTATTTGTTTTTTGTAACTGACCAGTGCTCAAATCCATAAAGTGTGAGTGGCTGGTCTCACACAGAGAAGGATAGCAGTTTAAAAGTATTATTTGATATGAATGAATAAAGTTCTTTGGTGCTCGAGCCCAGGAAGAAGATGTGGGTGCTGTGAATTGCTGTAAGCTGACTATCAGTTTAGGATTAGCATCAAATGCTTTCCCCCAGGGGCCCAGACGGACACTGGTGGTGGAGCGGAAGGATAGTTTCAATTCAGTTTAGTTATGTAGTGCCAAGTTACAGCAAGTGTCGTCACTATGCACTATTAAAAAAAGCAATCAAACTAGGAAGCCAGCAGATTGTGATGAATCTTCACTTCATCACAGTCTCCCACCCTGAGCAGCACGTTGGCAGCAGTGGAAAGGAAAAATTCCCTTTTAGCAGGAAGAAACCTCCAGCAGAACCAGGCTCAGGACAGGCGAACATCTGCCTCGACCGGCTGGGTTTAAGGGGGCAAGAACCAGACAGCGAATACGAGGACTGATCTGGGAGTACTTCGCTCAGAAAATGAGGGCGGAGACAGGGTGGAGGTGGGACGAACACAGCCAGGGAGCAGGTGTAACCAGGGACACAGAGCCGAAAGCAGACTAGAAAGCCCAGACTAGAAAGCAGAGTTTTATAAAATAGTCAAACCGTGAAAAACTTATGGCTTGTTTGTGCTGAATGCGCTGCTGCACTCGGTAAATAAAAAAGAGGGGAAACCCCCCCGACGTGCTCCCATAGCTGACACCAGGAAGTAGAGTTTTATAAGGATAGTCATTCCATGAAAAACTCATGAGTGGAGATTAAACAGACGCTGTGCACGGAGGAATCTGACTGATAAAAACTGTGGAGCTTTAACCAGGACAGATGTGGATAAATACGTCGGGTGAGTGATAAATCTGACTTTTTTTCTGCATTATCGGCTGTTGCGGGGGAACTCCATGCAGTGACGTATGTTTCAGGGAGGGGGGTTTCCCGAATTTGGCGTGGGGGTGTCATAAGGACTATGAAAGGTCTGTGTGAAAATGACTGCCGAACAACCACGTGACTGCACGTCGACCCGTCGGCGTCGGAGCGAGTATGTTTCAGGCTTAATCTTAAGCTTAAGGCTGAGCTTAAGGGTAGCCGGTGAATATCAAGACCAGTGGTGTCCAATCCTGAGCCTCGAGGGCCACTATATCGCATGTTTTAATTGTTTTCCTGCTCTTCAGTGGGTCTTCAGATTTTTCAGGAGCTTGTGAATCACTCAGTCATACCTATCAGGCGTGTAAAGCAGAGAAACATCTAAAACATGCAGGGTAGTGTTCCTTGAGAACCAGGATAGGGAACCACCGTGGTGTCAAATCCTGGTCTTCGAGGGCCACTATACCGTATGTTTTAGTTGTTTCCCTGCTCTTTAGCAGGTCTTCAAGTTCTACAAAAGCCTGTCAATCAACTTTTCATCCAAATCAGTGTCACGGCTCCTCCTCTGATTGGCAGGGGCAGTTTCTCCTGCAAACAGAGGTGGACCTTGAGTAATGGGAAGCACCTGAGTTCAGTTATATAATCAGTGCTCCACTAACCATTTCTCTCTCTCTGCTCCTCCAAGTAACTCCTTGTTTTATGTTATATGTTGGATTTTGGGTTTATTTGGATTTGTTTACAATAAAACTATTTTAGTTGGCCTTAACCTTGTCTCCCCTCATTTTTGTTATGGGCCATGGGCTGGCCTGTGGCATCAGGTACAGTTGAAACCAGAACTTTACATACACTATATAAACAGACACATATACATTTCTTTCACACTGATGTGAATTCAGAAATTTTTTTTCCCATTTTAGGTCAGTTCGGATTACCAACATTTTCTCTATTTGCTAAATGCCAAGATAACAAGAGAGAGAGAGAGAGAGAGAGAGAGAGAGAGAGAGAGAGAGAGAGAGAGAGAGAGAAAGAGAGAGAGAGAGATTTTTAAGGCAATTTTTAGAGAGAGAGAGAGAGATTTTTAAGGCAATTTTTAATTCTTTCTTCAGTGTCAAAAGTTTAAATACACTTCATTAGTAACTTGAGTCAAACATTTTGGATATTCTTCCACAAGCATCTCACAATAGTTGGAGGGAATTTTGGCCCACTCCTCCTGATAGAACTGGTGGAACTGAGACATGTTTGTATAGGCCTCCTTGCTCACACATGCCTTTTCAGCTTTGCCCATACGTTTTCGATAGGACTGAAATCAGGGCTTTGTGATGGCCACTCCAAAACATTGACTTTATTATCTTTGAGCCACTTTGTAACCAGTTTGTCAGTATGCTTCAGGTCATTGTCCATTCGGAAGACCCATTTGCTCCAAGCCTTAACTTCCTGGCTGATGTCTTGAGATGTTGCTTCAGTATTTTCACATTAAGTTCCTTCCTCATGATGCCATTTATTTTGTGAAGTTCACCAGTCCCTCCTGCAACAAAACAACTTCACAATGCTGCCTCTCCTGTTTCACAGTCAGGATGGTGTTCTCAGGCTTGCAAGCTGCGCACTTTTCCCTCCAAACAACAGTCATTAAAGTCAAACAGTTCAATTTTAGTTTTGTCAGACCACAGGACATGTCTCCAAAAATGAAGGTCTGTGTCCTTCGGTCCATTTGCAAACATTAATCTGGCGTTTTAATGTTTCTTTTAAACTAAGGGCTTCTTCCAGGCAGGGTGGACTTTCAGTCCCTGTGGATACAGAACTCGTTTCACCATGGATAATGACTCACTCTCACCATCTTCAGCCAGCCACTTCACTATATTCTTGGGTTGATATGTACGTTTTGGACCAAAGCACGTTCATCTCTGAGACACAGAACCTGTCTCCTTCCTGAGTGGTATGATGGCTGGACATCCTCATCTTGTTTGTACTTCTGTATAATGGTTTGAACAGATGAACGAGGTACATCCAGACATCTGGAAATTACACCCAAGGATGAACCAGACATGTGCAGGTCCACAATTCTCTTCCTGATATGTTGGCTGATTTCTTTAGACTTTCCCAGGACACAAAGAAGCAGTGTGTTTCAGGTGTGCGTTAAATTGCATCCAGATGTTATCAAGAAATCTATCAGAAGCTTCCAAAGACATGGCATTAAAGTAATAAAAAATTGCCTTAAAAACTCTCATTATTCTGGCATTTAGCAAATAGAAAGAAGTTTGTTCTGATTTCACATCAAGACAGTGTGAGCAAAATGTATATGCATATTTTTATATAGTGTATGTAAACATGTAGTTTCAACTGTATGTGAAAGCAGGGAGACATCTAAAACAAGCCCTCTAGGACCAGGATTGGACCCTACTGATCTATACTGAGCCAAGACTTCCTGTCTTATGATAGTAGATTAGTGCAGGTGAAGGAAAGACAAAAACATGGAGGAGAGTTTGTGGCTTCTCAGTGAGAGTTTGATAGATTTTTTATACATTTTTTTAGGTACATGCAGCCAAAGTAATTTCAACTTTAAAAAGAGATTGTAGAGCAATAAATCTGGATTATCGCCAGCAGGTTTAGGAGATCGGAGTAGTTTTGTTGCTAGAAATCAAACCAAAAAGTGTTTTTCCCCTAACCAATCAACCACTCAAATGTATTTGTATATATTCTAACAAAGTGCAGCATTCAAAATTTTGAATTTATTTCTTGAATTTAATTAGACTTTACACATCCTCTCAAGTTTACACAAAAAAGTGGCACATAAGGTGTAATATTCATTAAAATGTAAAGGCAGGAAGCAACACATTAAAAGTGTTAATATGCTAATTTATTCATCATTACATTTTCATTTCTTGTTTTAAAAGATAACATATACATATTTTTTCATAATATTATTCATTGCAAGTTGGGCGACTTAGTTTTCAACACATCAGAATTTGGGAGAAGATCCAAACATTTTTTTAAAAGTTCTGATAATCTGTAAATATAAACAGCTGCGTGTTTAGACTTTTATATGATGAAGCTGTTTTATAATTAGTTGTCATATTTCTGACTCAGTCTTTGCTATCATGAAATAAACCAAGCTTCTTTCAACTGCACAAAGCAAAGAGATACTTCAGAGTATGTTTTATTATTTTGGTTCTGGGGTTTCTCTGGAGACACAACTTCCACTCAGCACATGTCCATGATGCGTCTGATGGAGCTGATTCTCATGACGTTGCTCGTTCCCATGTCCCGGAGGTTCCTGTACTCTCCTGGTCTCACGTACATCAACCGGCCTCTGTAGTTGGGCTGCTCGAACATCAGCCAGTGGCCGTCCATCACGTTGCAGGACTGGCACTCGGACATGTAAAACCGGTCCTGGAGAGACTCGCAGTCGTCCAGCAGCTCGTGCATCTGGCCTCCGAAGTTCTCCCTCTCGTAGATCCTCATCCTGAACTGTCCCCGGTGCTGGAGGAGGAAGATAAGACTTGATGGCACAACCTCATTTTTATTTACGTCTTTTATCGACGAGCATGAATGGCTTTGTTTTTGTCAATCATTTCAACAAACAGACCGTCTTACCGTTGGAATCACACGACAGGAGCGAACGGTGTCCATCATGGCCATGCCCATCATGCCCGTCATGCTTCCGGTGTACTGAAAATCATTGTACTCGCCTCTCCTCAAGAAGACCTGGTTCCCCATGTAGTTGGGCCTGTCGTACACCATGAAGCACCCGTTCTCAACCCTGCAGGAGTTGCAGCGGTTCAGGTGCATGTGGATGTCGGAGCAGTCACTGCTGCATTCATAGGAGCGCCCCTGGAAGTTCTTCTCCTCATAGAAAATGACCTGCAGCAAAGACACAAGAGAAACAAGTGAGTTAGTACTTCCTGTGTGCACAGGGAGGCTTTAATGTTTGTATGGATCTTCATCTTAAACCCCATATCCATACGACTTTAAATCCCACTGAAACACATATATTACCCTGCCCATGGTGATGGATTGTTGTTTTTTTCCAAATGATGCCAACCAGCCTTGCTTTTATACCAAACATCAGCTGCAGGGCACCTAGCTCACCTTTTGTTTCAAATATCATGACTCATCATCAGGTTCACGTGGCCCTTTTATTGATTTCCTTTTTGTTTGTTTTTACATGGCACTCAGTAATTATCATTGAATGTTCACTGTAGTTCAGAGAGGTCATGCTTGGTTACAAAATAAAACTAAATATTCATCTTGTGATTTATTATTTATCACATTTTTTATTGTCCTYTCATAGAATGCTGTTTGGTTTTCATACCTTAGATGTGCTCTCATCACATCCATGCTCCTTTTTTAACATAATTGCTAGTTTTGCAGAGGAAAAAAAATTAGTTGAAATAAATAGTTGACGTTGCTGGAAACGAGTATAAAACCCAATAGTCAATTGACAATAACCAGAGTACGGCAGATTCTGGCCTACAGTAATGTCTGCCGCCCTATAGTGCTGCTCTGAATATAGAGTGATGACTCAAATGTTTCAGCACAAGCCATGTGGAAATACTACAGCTGTGCCCTGTATAAAAAGGCAAAAGGGTCGATGTTGATGCTGTACATCTGAYATTAGCTCACAAAAATCATGACCATGGGGAGGGTAAGTGAAGCTTTAGAAACAGCAGAGGAATATTAACATAAAAAAAGATATCCCAGTGAAAATTCATTGACTACTTGTCCTGGTGGCAAATGTCAATGTGTTTGAGAKATTTGAGGTCTGGTTTTTGTTGCCTCCTGCAGATCATATTCTATGAGGAGAGGAACTTCCAGGGCCGGTCCTARGAGACCAGCAACGACTGCCCGGAGCTGACCTCCTACCTGAGCAGGTGCAACTCCTGCAGGGTGGAGAGRGGCCTCTTCATGGTCTACGAGAAGCCCAATTTCACTGGCCATCAGACTCTGGTGAGACGGGGCGAGTACCCTGACAACCAGCGTCTGATGGGAATGAGCACCAGTGACTGTATCCGATCCTGTCGAATGATCCCCATGGTACGTGGTGGAGTTTGCCACAAACGGCAGTGCACCTGAAATTATASATTATTTATTTCATTTTACCCATTAAAGCAGCTCAGATTTGTAAGTTTAAAAAGAGAAAAGCCTTATAGGAGCTGGTTTACCAGGCTAGAGATTTCTATCTGGAATTTCTCACAACATATGGTCCACTTGTCTCCAAACCTRTGCATCTGAAATCAGCAAGCACCTAATGGCAGGAAAATAAACACTTAAACAATATCATCTATTTTAACATCTAGATGAGTTTTGAATGATCTTTTAGCTTTGCTTCTCAGAGTTCCTTTTGTTTCAGTTATTATAAGCAACATTCAAGATGAACGAAGAATTCCTCATATTCCTCACCMTTAGTCTGTCCAAATTGTACATTAGCAAAGCTGTTGTTTGTAGATTCACAATCTAACCCTCTGCAGCACCGAGGGCTTTTCCGAATGAGGATATACGAGAGGGAGAATTTCGGAGGCCAGATGCACGAGCTGCTGGACGACTGTGACAACATGATGGACCGCTTCCGAATGTCCGAGTGCCAGTCCTGCAACGTGATGGACGGCCACTGGCTGATGTTCGAGCAGCCCAACTACAGAGGCAGGATGGTGTACCTGAGGCCAGGGGAGTACAGGAACCTCAGGGAGATGGGACTGAGCAACCTGACAAGGTTCAGCTCCATCAGACGCATCATGGATTCCTGTTAGCTCTGAGTCTGAATGTACCAGGCGGGAAACAATAAAGCAAGATGAAATGTAAATGTCTCTTMGTTCTGCTTTTCATTCTGGGTGGAAACTGCTTAAACATTTTGGMTGTTTCCTTTAATTCTCAAGTCATTTTTAAGGTAGAGTTTCTTGCTTTTTAGTACATCTGTGATAGCTCTGGATTTATTTGTCCACATTGGGACAATAAGATTTGTAAAAGTCACTGATTATAACTCCATAACTTTTATTCATTTATTTTTGAAGCTGTCTCTACACTAAGCTAAGAGTGCCAAAAAAACTAATATTCGGTTCTTTTAGTGAAATTTTACAAGTTTATAACAAACCAGAAAACTATAAAGAACC